CATGCTAATAACTCTAATCCCTGCCTTGAATGAGCAGCCAAAAGTGAGACTGAAGACTCAGTGCACTCTTCAGCCTGGGGAGTTTCACACCCACCCCTTCTGTCTCCTTGATAAATGTCTCCAAGCAGCTCTGGAGGCTCAGTGGGAGGTGCTCCTGCCCCTCCCTGATCACAGCTGGTACACCTTCTCCCAGGGTGCACACTGCTCTTTTCCCAGGGAGAAAGCCAGGCTGCCAAGTGCCTCAGCCCTGCTGAAGCTGCAGTTCAGGTGCCAAAGCCCTTCCATGCTGGCCTTGGCTTGGGCTGAATTTCACAACCCTCCTTTGTTGCCCCGGCAGCATTTCTCTACCCTCCCTCACTCCCATCACTGCTCAGGCATTTCCCTTCAGAGACCTCCTCCTTTGGAACAATAGCCAGGATTTCCTTAAATCGCTGCAGTTTTACCTGTGTTCCATTATCTCCCCCCACCAAATGATAATTGCAGATTAATTAGCATACTTAATCAGCCACAACTAACATGTAATTACATCTAGATTTAATTATTCCTGTCTGGTCTAAACACTTGTACAAGACCTGATAAACTCAACTCTAGGAGAACCAATGTGCTCCCAGTACATTTTTATGGCCAGCTTTTGTTGCTACTGACATTTTCCACTCATCCCACTTTCTCCACTGCCTCCAGGTTTTCTTTCCCTGCTCATCTTTGCTATGGTAGCACTTTTCCAGACCCACTTCTCTGTGGAGTTGTGGACCTGGGGCTGCTCAGGTGTGGTAACACCACCCAGAACAGGTGTGTGCAACTCCTCTAGGTAGTAGCAGGGTTTGAAAGGATGTGTTTAACCCTGAGTGAGCTGTGTGCACCATCACACCTTCATTGGGAGGATGTGCAGGATCTGGCATCCTCTTCTCATGTATGTAATTTCTGTAAAGTCCCAGCTGAAAATAGTTAATTACTGCTCAATTACAGTGTCATTGCCCCCCCCCCCCCACCCCTCCTTTAACTCTCTGTGTTCAGCCAGGCAGAGTGAGGACGGGGAATCCTCTCTGTCATGCTTCCTGTCAGCCCTATCTATTGCAGGGAAGGCATGGTACAATTCCAGCACTTTGTCTCTCTTGTCTTTTGCTCCTGGGCCTCCCCAGCTCCCATCCTGTGAATGGCAGGCTCCTGAGGTTCCCCCAGTTTGAGAAAGCCCCTGAGGAGCAGGCTCATTGTGCCAGCAGCAAGTGATACAACAACAGTGGCACATCTCAACCAAAGGGAGCCCACACTGCAAGGAGGGAGGAGGACACAGAGCCCCACCACTCCTCCAGAAGCAGCTCTGGCCACAGCAGGCCATAAAGAGTTGATTACCCCTGCAGGCTTGAGCTCACTCTCCTGTCCCCTCCTGCCAGCTGCAGTGAAGGGCAGCAGTGTCACAACCTCCCCACTCAAGTGTAATCTGAAAGTTCCCCACCAATTACCAAGATGTCTTGACCTCTTTCAAGCTGCCTGTTCCTCACTCAGCTGGATAAAGGAGAGAAGCCATGTGCATTCCTGCTGATCATCCCTAGCCAAGGTGGACTATTTCAGACTAAAGCTTTCCCTGTCTGCTTTGAGCCCTTTAGGTTTTGTTCTGGTTCTCCATGGGGAAGCTGCAAAGATGAATACAGCTCCAGGAATGGGTACTGAGGGAAGGGCTCCTACCTGCACTGGCTCTGCAATGTGCTGCTGATGCTGCTAGAGGAAAAAAAATGGCTTTTAAACAGCAAAGTATGACTTTTTTTGAGGATACAAGGAGCTCCTGGCACCTGAAAGGACTCAAACCCAGCCGCCCTCATCCATGAAGTGCATCCGCTTGCTTGCAGGTGAAACAGAGTAAAACTAATGGGAAGGGTTGTCCAAGCATCCCTTGAAAAGGGCAAAGGCCTGAGGATGCAGGCAGAGGCAGTGTGGGCACTGCTGAGCTCCTGCCAGGCTCACCTGCCTGTGGGCAGCCTGTGCTCCCTGCTGGCTGCTCAGCACATCCCGTGCTTCCACCCCAGGCTGCTCCCAGCTGGAGCTGCGTGTCCTGCACCATCCTGTGCAGAATCCCTGTGCAAGGAGCTGCTTCAGGCAGGCACAGACAGTCTGGGAGGTGAGAAGAGCTACCCCCGTAAGTCCAGCTGCCCCCACACATCCAGCTCTCACCTGGCTGCCCGTGTCCCCAGGGCTGCCTGCAGCCACATGCTGACAGCTCTGGTCCCCAAGGACCACGGGGATGGTGGCAGCCCTTGCCATGGCAACCATCACCGTGGCACCCAGCATCTCCATTCCCCAGGGAATGTCCCCTCCCCTGTGCAGGCAGGGCTGGAAAACAGCAGGGAAAAAACAAAGTGTTGTCTGCTCAGGAGGAGCTGTCTGAAAGCACCCGAGGGTTACCCAGAGGGACCACCTTGGGCAGCTGCCAGCATGCAGGGGCTGTGCAGTAATTTTATATTCCTCAAGGGGCAAATCAGAAGCAGGACCCGTAACCACCACTCCACTGGGCATAAAAACGTTGTCCAGCAGTTACAGTAACATCACGGGAGGGGATCAAATTGGTGAGCCAAGGGTGTGAGCCAGCACTGGGGGGTCACAGACCCTACAAGCTGTGTAGGAGCCTGTCCACGGGTGGATGTGATGTGCCACCAGTCTGTGCCCACCCCAAGCCCAAACTGCAAATCCTCTTCAGGATGGAGAGAGGTTTGACCCTGAATGACTTGGCCTCTCACCTGCCCTGACTTCTCTTCCCTAGCCCTGCCCTGGTGCTGCCTGGGGATGCTGCTGGAAAGGGAAGAACCATTTTCCACCAGCCAGTGGCTACTCTCACACTGACCCCTTGGTCTCTTTGGTGCTGTGCCAGGCACTGATTCAAGACAGCTGCTGTTGCCTGCTTGGTCTCTCATTTATCTTCTCCCCATCCTCAGCGTTTTCCCTCCCGGAAATCCCTCTGGAGGCCCCAGACAGGAGCTGAGCCCCTCCTGTGCAGGGCACGCCCCTCTCAGGCCAGGCCTTTGGCCCCAGTGCCATAAATCAGCCCCAGCAAAGCAGCAGGGGAGCAGTTTGGTGAAAGGCTGCAGGGACGGCAGTACCTTTATTAGGTTCCCCCAGCACAGCTGGAAAAAATAAGGGGCCCAGACAGGCTTTGAGGCACATAACCCCTGAGCTGAGCCCCGCACTCAGTCCTGTCTGCTGATTTAATAAGAGATCAGCTTTCCCCACAGACCACGTCTCCTGTGCAGCCTTAAACCCTCCTGGTTAAAACACTGTCCCGGAGAATCAATCCAAGATGGTTTTGTCCCTTTGATCAGCACAGCAGGTAATAAGTCACCAATGGAAATGTGTTTCACTTCTCTGGCTCCAGCAATGGCAATGGAGACAACCCCTCTGTCACGAATGCCTGGTGAAAATCTCACTGTTCCTGGGGAGATGGACAAAGGGGTTTGCAGAGTGGCTCTGGAGGTCCCCATGGACACACAGCAGCACCTGGGTGAGCAAATTCCCTTCCCACAGGGATCCATCCTGATCTCCAGCCTCACAGCACAGCCACAGCGTTTGCAGTGCCTGTCTAATTGTGGTGACAAACACGGAGGGAGAAGTGATTGCCTGACAGAACCAGGGCAGGCTGGTCTGGGAGCTGCCAGGAAACCTGGGCCAGATCCCAGCTCCAGCACGGAGCTGCCGAGGGACTGCCACAGTCCCTCTGGGCACACAGGATATTGAGTCACCTGGCAGAACTGACTCAACTGTTTAATGACTTTAATGCTTCTAGATAACCCGGAGCATCAAAGATGTGCTCTTTAATTCCTTGCTTTTGCCCATTTCCAGCCCTCTGTAAACATGAGGACTTCACATTATAAAAGAATTGTGAAGATTTCTTCAAATCCCATTTTTAAAATAAGGATTTATTCTTATTTCCCTATACTCAAAGAAGATTATTTAACTCTTCCTTGAAGTGCTGTCTCCTCCTCCAGTGGAGTACCTTATACTGTGTGCTCCAGAGATGTTAAACTCCCTCTGAGCTGAGGGAGGAGGCTGAAAGCGCAGTGTGGAGATGGTCACTGGGTGTCAGGCTATGCCTGGCTGCCAGACAGGGTTGGAGAAAGCTGGAATGAGCTAAGAAGATGGCTTTTGATCTCTCAGCTCTCCCTCAGGCACCCTCCAAGTGCTTCCAGCCCTGAACACTCAGGACATGCTGCCCCAAGACTGAGCCTGGAAGGGGAAGCAGGTGGGCCCATTACTTTCAAGGACTCTTTTTGTCCTGTCCTGGCTCTATTTACTATTTTTTACTGTTACACGAGGGTGGGCACTGTGCAAAAACTGTTCCTGGTGGACAAAACTCCTGGGCCAAGCCGTGGAGTTTGACCCGGGTGATGCAATTCCCAACCTGCAGTTCCCCAGGGACAAACAGAAAACATTTGGCATCGAGTGCAGGTCATTGCCCTGGGCAGTGTGGCTCCACTGAGAGCTTGTGGTGCCTGCTGCAGACACAGCTTTGGGCAGGTGAGGCTGGAGAAACACCGGGGCAGAGATGGAGCAGGGGGTTAGGAAAGATGAGGAATTCCCAGCCGGCGCCTGCGGAGCTGAGGGCGGTCTGCCATAAGCACCCTCTGGACATGCCCCAGCGTGGAAAGCCATGACCAGCGGGGGAGGATGGAGCTGCCAAAGAGCTGTTTGAGGTGATGAACGCCAGTTCTGCCAGGGGCAGGACGGACAAGCGGCCACAGTCCCTCAGAGCCGGTGGGACGGCAGCAAGCTCCACAGCAGCAGCCTCTCCCAAGAACCAGCACCTTCTCGGTTTTCCAAGCCTTGGGAAGGCGTCCCAGTTAGGAAGGGACACCCAAATCCTGACGGTGCCGGTGCTGTGCGAGCCCTGTCCCCGTCCCGGTGCCACCCGCTGTCCCCTCACAGCGCTGCAGCCGCTCCTCCCGCCCGACAGGGAGCGCCCGCCGCGCCCGGCGGAACCATAGAGAGCGGCGCGCGCCGCCCACCTCCCGCGTGTGTCCGCCCGCGTGACAGGGAGGGGCTCCCCATTGGCCGCGCCGGCGGGGCCGGCCGCGCGCCCCCCGCGGGTGTAAGTGCGCGCGCGGGTGTGCGTGCGTGAGTGTGCACGTGTGTGAGTGTGCGTGTGCACGTGTGAACGTGTGTGAGTGCTCAGGTGTGCGCGTGCGCGTGCACGTGTGTGTGTGCGCGTGTACGAATGCTCAGGTGTGCGTGTGCACGTGTGTGTGTGCGTGTGCGCGTGTACGAATGCTCAGGTGTGCGTGTGTGCCCTTGTGTGAGTGTGAGTGCTCAGGTGTGCGTGTGCGCACAGGTGTGTGCGTGTGCCCTTGTGTGAGTGTGAGTGCTCAGGTGTGCGTGTGCACGTCTGTGCGCTCAGGTGTTCCCCCGCGGCATCCCTGACCACACCTGCACACCCCGCAAGGTGTTCCCCGGCTGCCCGTGCAGCCAGGTGTGCGTGTGCCGGTGTGCCCGTGCAGCATTCCCGCGTCCGTGCCCGGGTACCTGTGCGTCCCGGAGAGCGTGCAGGGGGGTGAGCGCTGTGCAGCGCTCGGATGTGACAGGGTACCTGTACGTGCACACCTGGGTGCGTGTGCCGGTGTGCCCGTGCAGCATTCCTATACCTGTGCATCCTGGAGAGCGCTCACCTGTGCGCCCCCAGGTGTGCGTGGGTCCGTGTGAGCCCTGCTGCCCCTGCGGCTGCAGACCCTGACCCCTGCTCCGTCCGCTCTCCCTCCGCAGGCTCTCTCGGTGCTGCCATGGAGGCCTTGCTGAGGAGCTGCCGTGTCCCGGCGCTGGGCGCCCATCAGCGCGGGGCCAGGGCCCGGCACGGCGGCACCCCGGGCAGGAGCAGGCGCCTGCTGCTCTCGCAGCTCTTCCAGCCGCTGGCCCTGCCCGTGGGCGGCCAGGCAGGCTCCGAGGGCCGGCCCGGGGAGCCCACCTGCCGCAGCCAGCGGCTGATGCTGCAGGGGGGGCTCATCCATCCCACCAGCCCCGGCTGCTTCTGCTACCTGCCGCCCACCGTCCGCGCCATGGAGAAGCTGATCAAGGTGATGGACGAGGAGATGCAGGCGGTGGGTGGGCAGAAGCTGAACCTGCCCAGCCTGTGCTCGGCGGAGCTGTGGCGCACCAGCGGCCGCTGGGATCAGATGGGGCCGGAGCTCTTCCGGCTGGTGGATCGGCACAAGCACGGCTACTGCCTGGGCCCCACGCACGAGGAGGTGGTGACGGCGCTGGTGGCCTCGCAGAGCGGCCTGTCCTACAAGCAGCTCCCGCTGCGCCTCTACCAGGTCACCAGGAAGTTCCGGGACGAGCCCAAGCCCCGCTTCGGCTTGCTGCGCAGCCGGGAGTTCTACATGAAGGACATGTACACCTTCGACAGCTCCGAGGAGGCGGCTCGGCGCACCTACGAGCAGGTGTGCGCTGCCTACTGCCGCCTCTTCGCCCGCCTGGGCCTGCCCTTCGTCAAGGTGCAGGCGGCCACGGGCAGCATCGGCGGCACCATGTCCCACGAGTTCCAGCTGCCGGCGGACATCGGCGAGGACAGGCTGCTGCTGTGCCCTCAGGGACATTTCGCCGCCAACGTGGAGACGCTGAACGGGGAGCGAACCTCGTGCCCCACGTGCGGGGAGAAGCTCACCGAGAGCAAAGGCATCGAGGTGGGGCACACGTTTTACCTGGGCACCAAGTACTCCTCCGTCGCCAACGCCGTCTTCTCCTCCGCCGAGAACAAGCCCCAGCTGGTGGAAATGGGCTGCTACGGCCTGGGCGTCACCCGCATCCTGGCGGCCTCCATCGAGGTGCTCTCCACCGAGGACGGCATCCGCTGGCCCAGCCTCATCGCGCCCTACCAGCTGTGCTTCATCCCCCCCAAGAGGGGCAGCAGGGAGGAGGAGGAGGGAGCAGCGCTGCTGGAGCAGGTGTACGATGAGCTGGCCGAGGCGCTGCCCCGCCTCGCCGGCGACTCGGTGCTGGACGACCGCAGCCAGCTGACCATCGGCAAAAGGCTGAAGGATGCCAAGAGGCTGGGCTATCCCTACGTGGTGGTGGCCGGGAAGAGGGTCTGCGAGGACCCCCCGGTCTTTGAGGTTTGGAATCAGAATGCCAGCGAGGTTTTGTTCCTCACCAAAGAAGGGGTAATAGAGCTGCTGAGTAAAGTGCAAGTCCCTTAAAGCTGAATCCGTCATCTCTGCTGCAGTGAGTTCGTCTGAGCAGCCCTGGCAATAGCTCTGGGTGAGCAGAGGCAAATCCAGCTCATGTCACAGAGCCAGCCATGGTGTCCTGGGTGCACCAGGTGCTGAGGTTGAGCTGGAATCAGCACACATTCCACCACGGGGCTGGGGACGTTCCTCCCTCTGGGTACCGGTCCCTGGAAGCTGCTTTTTCCAGCACTTGTAGCCTCGTGTGGCTGTGGGGGCACTGGCAGGGCCATCCCCTCCCTGCCTGGCAGGGACAGACTGGCCATGGCCTCTCTCAGGAGCACAGGACAGCCAAAGCTGCCCAGGGAGACAGGAGGACTCCTGCCACGCTCTCAGCATGAAGGATTCTGAGAGACAAAGGAAGGTGACTTTCCTCTGTTTGCATCTCTTTGGGAACACCCAGGTCCCACGAAGGTGGAAACTTGGGGCTCCTGTGAGGAACTGCTTGGTGCCATCCCAGCAGCACTGATGGGACAGGGAGCTGCTTGGAGGGGCCACCTCACCCTGTGCCACAGCTCCTCGGTCTGAGATCTAGAGATCATGAGCAACACTGTAATAAAATCACAGAATCATTTAGGAAAAGGCCTTTAAGATCATTTAGCCCAGCCATTAACCTAAGCCACCACTAATCCATGTCCCCAGGTGACATATCTACTGCCCCTTAAATCCCTCCAGAGATGGTGACTCCATCACTTCCCTGAGCTGTTCCAACGCCTTCTGATGAAAAACAGCCCGGCCTTACCCTGCCCTGCCCTGTCCTGCCCAGCCCTGCCCTGTCCTGCCCTGCCCTGCCCGGCGTTGCCCTGCCCAGCCCGGCGTGTCCCTGCCCCAGGCTGACCCCGCTGCATCCCCACAGAGCTGGCCAGGATGTACAAGAACGAAGGGAACGAGTACTTCAAGGAGAAGGACTACGGGAGAGCGGTGGCCGCTTACTCGGAGGGGCTGCGGCGGCGCAGCGGGGACGCCGAGCTGGACGCGGTGCTGCTCACCAACCGGGCGGCTGCACATTTCCACTTGGGTAAGGAACGTTGCCACATTTCCACGCGGCTCCACGCTCCAGAGCTGCTTTTCCTCCCCTTTTGGGGTTTTCTTTTTGTTTGTGTGATAGGTTATCCGTGAGAAGGAGGCTCCTTGAACGCTGAAGAGCTGGCTGGCTCCAGCGCATGGCTGCGTGCAGGGTTTGTTCTCTGCTCCTTCCAGCTGTTACCTGCTGCTCGAGCCTTGGCTCCAGGACAGACAAAAACAGTGGGGTTTAGGATCAGAGACTGGTTTGGGTTGGAAGGGACCTTTGTAGGTCATCTGGTCCAACCCCTCTGCAAGGAGCAGTGACATCGTCAATTAAACAAGTTTGTTCAGAGCCCTGTCCAGTCTGGCCTTCAATGTTTCAAGGGATGGGGCTCCTACCACTGCTCTGGACAACTTTTGCCAGTGCCTCACCACTCTCATTGTCAATTTTTTTTTCCCTTATATCTAGTGTAATTCTACCCTCATTTAGTTTAAAACCATTACTTGATGATCTTGGAGGTGTTTACCAACCTTAATAATTCTGTGACTCTCTTCCTACCAACAGGGAAGGTGTTCTGCGCCTTTTAATGCTGCTGTGTGTTGCAGCAGGGAGGTGACCTGCTCACACCACCTTATTTACCTCTCACCTGTATGATTGGTCCCTGTCCTTGCACTTCTTGTTCTTAATTTGCTCTTTTTTTACCTTTCTTTCACCTCGCTGTGATTGTAGGAACAGTGAATTACCGGGGCTCTGCATAAACCTTTTTGCCACCTTGGTGTCTGGTTGGATTTTAAATACAAGTGGAGGGTTCTGAGCACTTTTACTTGCTTTACAGGGAACTACCGTTCTGCTCTGAATGATGCCATCCAAGCCAAAAAGCTGAAGCCCACCCATCTCAAAGCCATCATTAGAGGTGAGAGTTAAAGCTGGTGTTGCTGCATGGAGCAGGACTCCTTTCCAAACACTTGGCTGATGTTATCTTTACTGATTGGGTTGTTATTGTTACCAGCCCTGAAACAGACTGTTGTTACTTGTTGCCTTGTTTCCTTGTGTGTTTCTGGTGTGTAATAATTGTGTTTATAAAGCTTTAATTACTGTGAGGGGCATCATGCTTTGTTTCTGGACAGAATTTATTTCAGAAAGGGAAAGCAGTTACTGGAAGAGATCTCTTCACTTGTTATTGCTGTTTCTCCCCAAAACAGAGCTTTGCCTTTTGCTTTGCATTTTCAGTCAAAATATCCTTCTGTTCTTCATCTGCTATATCTATCAGAGGCACTGGACCCATTTCTGTGGAGTATGGGATAACTTTTCCTGTTTTCCACAATACTCTTTTTGGGGTCTGTTATTTTTTCCCACTCCATAGAAACCCCCCTTTTATTTTTCCTAAAAGCCAAATACTGAAATGTTAATTACAGTGATAAAATTTAGTTTGTAGAGACACTTTTAGCATAATTCTGCTGATATCTGTGTCTAAGTGATATGAGAACTGACGAAATACTTTACATTTTCTTCTCAACTGACCTGCTGGAAGTTTCTGGTTGAACATGACCACACAAGACAGAAGTATTTAGTACAGAAGCACCAGACCTAATGCTGTCTTTATAATAACCACTTTTATAGTAGTTGTACACTGACTCCAACACTGGAAACTTAAAATATTAATCCTTCCAGGAGCTCTCTGTCACATGGAGCTAAGGAATTTCGTGGAAGCAATAGCGTGGTGTGAGGAAGGCTTGCAAATAGACTCAAAAGATAAAAAGCTTGTGGAAATGAGAGCTAAAGCTGACAAATTAAAGGTAAGGATGAGGCAGCCTGGCATGTGCAGTGCTTGTCCCTTGGGGATCCCTGGAAGGAGGAGGGAGGCTGCTCCCTTGGGGTTTCTGTGTAGTGTGGTGTCCCCAGACAGCACTGAGTGGTGCTTCCGTGGGCTGTGTGCTGGGATGTGCAGGGAAACGAGCTTCAGGGGACCTTCCTGGGGACCCAAACTGATTTCTGCAGCAGGAGAAAATGTCAGGGGAGAGCAGTGATGGGCACTGACCTGCTCTGTGTGACCTCAGCATCCTTTTCTTGCCCGTAGCGAACCCAGGAGCGGGATGCCAGGAAAGCAAAGGTGATGGAGAGCAAGGAGCAGTGTCAGAAGGAAATTTTGCTTGCAGCAATAAAGGTGAGTCACTGAGAGGAGCTGGTTTTGTGTGGTTTGGGTTTTTTTTTTCTCTCATTTTTCTCTAAAAGTTGGTTCTCATACATTGGCTTTTGAGGGCTAGAGCAAAAAAATTTGAGTTAAAACCATCATTCTCCAGGTCTGCGTGGCTCTAGCCCCACCTCCCAGCTTTCTGTATTTCAGGTAATAACTAATGCAAAAACAGACCCAGTGTTAGGAGATGGGCTGAGCTTTGTGAGTGCTCTGGCTGCTGGGCTGTAGCATCACATCAGCCCAATGAACCTGGCTTTCTTTGCTGGCCACAGGCATTAATTGTGGAAGAACAGAACATAACCATTCAGTAGGGTAGAACAGGGAATCAGTCCTAAATCCTCTCCTTCCTCAGTGAATGTTTAAACTGCATTAAAATATTCTGGGCTTTTACAGTCAGATCTCTTCTGCTGTTTTCCTTTCTCCAAGGAAAAGAGTGAGCTTTCTTCAGTTCTCTGAAAGAGGAGATGTTCTCAGGAGCTGGTGTGTGTATTTGCACCCTGGAGTGGTGCCTGGCAGGCGACAGAGAAAAGGATTTTAGGTGCATCCCTTTCCACGTGTTTTCTCAGGCTCTTCTCTCCACACGTGGGTTCCTTTGGATTCCCACCTCTCCTCATTTGTTTGTGGATGTCTGGCTAAGGTTCTGGATTCTACTGGGAAGTCCAGTCACCTGAGTCTGATACTGAGGGAAAGCTTTGGAGCTGACTCACTAACAAGGACAACATAATTGGACCTTTTACTGACTGCTAATTTTTTGTTCTTATTCTCCCCACCATAACTGTTCGATTTTTAGTTGGGTTTTGGTCTTTCCCCTCCATCCCCTCCAGGAAAGAAATATCAAGCTGGTTCTTGAGCCTTCAGATGAAGAGGAGGAAGTGTCAGATGGCCTGGCTGAGATATCCTTGGATGGGTTCCACTCTGGCAGTGCCACGGGGGCCAAGGTGCACTTGGATGCTGATGGCAGCCTGAGCTGGCCTGTCCTCTTCCTGTACCCTGAGCACGAGCAGACAGATTTCACTGTGGCTTTCCACGAGAACTCCAGGTAAATGCACTGCCAGCAGCGTTCTTGCAGGTGTTTGAGGAGATGAGAACAGCAGCAAGTGAAACACTGCCATGCTGGAGCAGTCCCAGATTTCTGATCACACAGCTGACCCTGCTTTTGAGCAGGAGGCTGCACTAGATGTGCTCCTGAGGCCCTCTCCCACCTGAATTATTCTGTGATTTACCTAAATTTATGCTGCAGACAAACACATTTAGCCAGGGTGACTGAAGGGGCTTGCAGTTCAATTACTCAGACCAGTAATTAATTAGTTGCCAGGGATACCTGTGACCATATGTGTGGATTTTAGAGATTCATTAAGGTGCTGTTTCAAAGCCCTCCAAATATATCTCAGAAAAAAAAGTTTAAAATTATGAGAAGCTTCCAAAGGGGACCTCTCATAACCAGCAGTGACCCCAAAGTTCTCCTCAGGGCCTTCAGCAGATCTGAAGTGCTGCAGACCTTTCAGACTGGGAGTGACTGGCAAGGTCAGAATTCCACTCTCCTTGATGTTAACTTCAATTTCTCATCTTGTAATGTTAAACAGACTTGGAATTGTAGCTTTTTGTTTGTTGGAAGGCATATTCCTCAGATTTATTAATAAGTTTAGGACTTAAAATTACAGTGCAAGCAGGTTGGTGAAGTTGTAGTACTTTTATGGTAGTGTTCACTGTGCTTTTTTATGACTCAAGGAAGTGGAAATGGATTTTTAGGACAAACTGGCCTCCCAACACTCCTCAAGTACCAAAATAAAGAAGGCTTTGACACACAGACATATTCTCATCACTCTGATCTGGTGAAGCATGGGACTGTGTAGAAGGAAAATCCATTTTGGACAAAATGCAGGATGTTTATTTTGACATCTTTTTCAGTATGAAAATGTGAAGTTAATAATTAGTTGTTGCACTGCTCAAATTTGAAGCCAATAACCTGAGTTACAGGGCCTTGGATTCATTGGGAAAGTGAGTTTTAAAGAAAGGAACTATTGGTGATCTAAACTTTCTTGCAAATCTGTTGTTAAATTTGCTAATGTATTTTTGCCATCATTCAAATGCAAGTATACAAGTTACTGAAGCTGAGCACTTTGTCTAAGCTGACCAAGAGTATTTTGGCTTTTAGGTTTATTGATCATTTAATGGTGATGTTTGCTGAGTTACCTCCCTGGGATTTAGAAAAAAAGTACCTTCCCAACAATCTTGAGGTGAGAATTTTGACTTCCTTTCAATTTCAGGGTTGTTGTGTTGTGGGTTTTTTATTTCTGGAGTGAGAAAGTGCACAGCTCTGAGGGTATGGAAGTGTTGGCATCTGTTTACCTTGCACAGATGTGAAACAAGAGAGCTGCCCTCACTTATAAACTCAAACATTGTCTGCACGTGCTGACAGAATTCACTGATGAAAATGGAAGTTGTCTTCCACTAACACTGTATTTGACAGAAGGTATTTATAGCTATTGCTTAGATTCCATCTTTGTAACAATAATTAAGATTTAAATCATCAGGCTGATAGATGGCCTGGTTTTTTAATTGCATCATGGAGTTGCTCAGTACAAATAAGAAAGTTTTTTTTTTTTATTATTTTCAGAACAAAGTGGATTTACTTGAGCACATAATCAGATCTAGATAATGTATCTCTATTAACACTTTAGCAAAGGAGGGTTGTGAGTTGGTGCAGCAAGTTTTGAGAATTTTTCTGAAGTTGTACACAAAAGGATGGGAATGTTTATTTTTCATTTTCCACTTCAGTGTCATCTGTGCCAGGCAGCAGCAGCACAACCCTGTGTACAGTGAGCAGACAGGTCCAGAAGGACAGTGGCTGTGTACTTTTCCAGGTTAAATCCTGTGTGTATTTACAGTCTAAGGCACCATTGCTGGATTTTAATCTCTTAAATCAACTCTGTTTTGTTCAAACACCTCTAAACCTACTCAGTTTATCTCACAACATTGCTGCATTTCACCTGTAGAAATGCAGCCCTTAGATTTGGATTGATTGCCTGTAAAGCATGGGAACAGCCTGTGTATTTTGCCTTCCTGCTGCCAGGAGAGCCTAAGCTGCTTTTTACAGGGAAAACTTGGAATTCACACAAAACTTGGAATTCAAACCAATTTCTGCCTTGCTGAATTTTGCATCCAACAGTTGGGTCAAGCGACAGAGGTTTGATAAACCCCCAGCTGATAATGGTGTGCTGTTACTGGGCTTTCAGCAGCTTAGTGCTTTCCTTCATGTACCTTAGGCATTTAATAATCCCCAAATTTTTTTTTTCCCAGCTCTATTTTGAAGATGAAGAAAGAGAAGAAATGTATGAGGTGAACCCAGAACACACATTGCTACAAGTGCTGCAGCACGAAAGGTGAGGCTGTACCTGTCCATGTCCAGGGGAAAAAAGGCAAAAAGTATGAGTTTGTTCTTAAATAGTCCTAACTTTTCTCTGACTTAATAGTCCTGCCTCTTGAAGGTATAAAGCTGCATGGATTTTGTGCCTGGCTTTAGCAACTGACCTGTGTTTTCCCCCCAAAAAAATAACAACTCTTTCCAGGAGTGGATGGAGATGGGAAAGGGAGCTGGGCACAGCTGAGCAACACAGAAGAGCTATTCCAGATCCCATCTACACAATACTACTTTAAAAAAAAAGAAAAGAAGAAGAAAAACAGGCAGCAGCCTATAAAGAGCATGTTGAAGGTTAACAATGCTCTCGCTGTTCCTGCTGCTGCGTGAGCAGCCCCTGGCGCAGCACGCTGCACTCTTCTGCTCTGAAACTGCCTTTCAAGAGTTGTGCTGTTATTGAGAGAGGAATTTGCTGTTTGGGAAGCCAGAAAGTTCCTGTGCAGCCTGTGCTGTTGAGCTGCAGCATCTCATAGCTGGCTGGAGCTGCTGCACAGCGTGGGGGGCTCGCTCTGTCGCAGTGGGAGCGGGGTCTCTGTCACCCCATAAAATTCAGCAGTGTCCATAGGCCCTCACATTTCAGGCTGTAAGGGCAGTTGCAAAAGAACCCTCCTTCCAGAGGGAGAATAACAGCTGCCTTAATTAAAAGAAGCTGTTGGGAGAGGAGTTGATTCATAAAACACTCCTCCTCAGATGTGCTTAGCCCTGGCTCCAAGAGGCTCTGCTAATCAGCACAAAATCTCGTCACCAGCCTTTGGGAGGTCAGTCTTTATGGAGCTGGGCAGGAGTCACTTGCTTTGCAGGACACTGGGCCAGCTACAAGAAAGCCAAGGACTCCTTTTAATCTTTGCAGGTATTTTGTAAAGGCCGGGACCCCGACAGTTTTGGTGTTTGCCAAGCGTTCTCCTTTCTCTAAGAAATACTTCTCTGGCAAGAAAGTGCATCGACTGTAATGAGCAAGAAAGAAACAAGGAATCCTGTGCAAGAGGCTGCTGTTTGTTAGCCCAGCTCCAGGCTGCAGACTTCTGCTTGAACAAAAATACCTTGCACTCTTCAGGGGAGGAAAACAATCTTGGCACACAGAGAAGCTTCCAGGGGAGCAGCACAGGAGAAGGAAGGGCTAACATGAGGGGATTATTTGTTTAAAAGGGAACCCAGCTGGCTTGCAGAAGGTCTCCTCTATGATAGGCTGCATGTGGTTTTGAAATAAGCCTGAAGCAGTGCCAAACACTGGCTGTGGCTGCAGTAACAGCAGCTGGGAATCTACTTCCCTACCTGAGAAAATCACAGATCTGCTCGGAGGTGGGCTGTGGCTGCTGGGGTCAGCAGCAGTGGCCTGGGGAGATAGCTGCCTGCTGCAGCAGGGTCAGTGCAGTCAGGTGCCTGCCTGGGACAGCAGCTGCTGTTTTGTCCCTGCTTGGCTGTGCTGCTGGCCAGGCTACAGCAGAGCTCTTTGTTTGGAGCAGTGTTTGACTGACCCTTTTGATACCTTACTGAACATCCTACAGAACCTGCAATAAACATGGCTATTTTAAGTAGACTGACTTCTGCCTAATGAATGAGACGACGCTTTGTAAATACCAGAGAAGGACAGACACTGATTGTAAACCCCAACATAACGAATGAATGAGACAACGTTTTGTGAAATATCAGAGAAGGACAGACACTGATTGTAAACCCCAACATAACACCCTTATCCATTACATTAACTGGTACAGCCAACACGCAGGGTCTTCTGCACTTCTGTATTAGCGCTTGGCTTTTAATCAGAAGTAATTCTCAATCTCTCATTGCTTTCTCTTCTGCAGGAATACACTGCAGCTTTAGACACAGTCAATGCATGGGGCATTAGAAAGCTGTTCAGCCATAAAACACTCCTGCTTCAATCACAGAGGCTGGCTGCAGGCAGCTCTGGAGAAAACATTTCCATTTCACTATTCCTAAATTTCAACACAGCAAGAGTATCTCCACCCGAGGATGCTGCACTTTAATGCCCAAAGCTGGGGGTTGCTTTACAGCGAGGCAGCAGGGGCTGGGCACTGTCCACCATCCCCTGGCAGTGCCCTCAGAGGGCAGAGAGCTGGCCAGCCAGGTGGTAGAGGCTCAGCCCGTTGCACACGATGCACAGGAGGTTGCAGAGCGAGGACAGAGCGTGGTAGAGGGCGAAGCTCCGGGCCAGCTGCCTGTAGCCGGGGTTGGAGGCACGGAGCTGCCTGCGGGGCTCGCTGGCTGCCAGCCCCACCTCCTGCCCCAGCCCCTGGCTCTGCTCCACCAGCTGCAGCTCGGCCACCAAGTCAGAGGCCACCTGCCCAAACCACTGCGTGTTCAGCACCGCGGCGGCGACGCAGACGAGGAAGACGATGATCTGCGGGGAGCGAAGCCACCCCACGTGTGGTGGGTTAAATTTCTCCCCCAGGCCCCCTGGCTCGCTGCAGTTTGGGTGCTTGTGGGGTTCTTTTAACTGTGCGTGGATCTCCGTGGTTTGCAAGCCAGCCAGAGGAGCAGAGGAAGGGGTTTGGGCTGAGTGTGAGGAAGGGGGAGGCTACCTGGGTCATGTGCTGCTCGCCGAGCTGCTCGCTGGGGTGGGACATGGCAAACAGGGTCAGGTTGAGGAAGGCACAGGTGGAGCTGATGTGGAAGTAGTAGGGGAAGAGCTGCCGCTGGATGGAGCCGAAGGTGTGGCGAGGGAGGTGCCTGCTCATCACAAACCCTGCGAGGGGAGAGCAGGGAGAGAGAGTCCTCCAAAGCCCCGTGCCCTGTGCCACCCCCGTGGGCAGAGAGCACAGCACAGCCCGACCTACCGGCCACGAAGGTCACCCACACCTGCATTCCCCAGGAGGTGGAGAGGAAGAGCAGGTGCAGCAGTTTGATGGTGTTGGAGGGCTCCGTGTCACTTGCCATGGCGTCCTGGATGGCGACAGGTCCCTTCGTGTCAGCCGGGTCACCCCAAATTCGGCGCTGAACTGTGGCTGCTGCTGTCACCTTGCTGCTCGCAGGGCAAATGCAGTTCAGGTTCACAAACCTGCTTACTCAGGGAAAGCTTTGGAGCTGGCACAGCCCCGTTCCAGCCTCACCACCACACACCCGACCGGGCTGCAAAGCCGCTGTTCAGTCCCCTCGTATCTCAGGGCAGGGCTCTGCGTCAGCACCTGGGAGCCACATGGCTGGGGTGGACTTTTGGCAAAGTCCAGCCAACGCCCCACTGACCCCTGGCAGCAGGAACAAGCAGAAAGTCAATAAAAAGGGGAAGAGAAAAGCTGTGACAAATCCACCTGCCCACGCTGTGGCCACCAGACGTCTCTTGGCCAGGGGGAAGCCCCCTTGTTTAAAAACAGCAACAGCTTCTGCACTGCTTAACCAAAAGCAGGGGGGCTCCCAGGCTCACCCCGCTGCCCCAGACCCTGCACAAGAGCACGGGCAGTGGGTGGAAGGAGGCTTTGAAGGAGCTGCCTGATCCACTGCAAGGAGCACTCTGAAAATTAATTAAAACAAAGCTTCTGGGAGTAGCCCATCAATACTGCTGCCTGTAGAATTCCTCCTCCTCCTCCTCATCCTCCCCTCGGCTGGCTGCCTCGGGGCATGAATTACAGCAGGGCTGGCCTTGAGAGAGACACTGCCGTCTAATTCTATCCCACTCGGGCAAAGCAGATAAATGTGCCCTGTATTGTGATATATTAGCTCCAGGTATTTATTTAGGCATCCATAAAATCAGCTCCTTAAACCTTCTCATGATGGCAGCACACCGGAGAAGGCGCCCACATCCAGCCTGGAGTGCTGGCCTGTAAATCCCCAGCTGTATTCATGGCCTTTTCTTTTCCAAAAGCTTCTTGGTGGTTTTGGGGATTTTTCCGTTCTCCAGGGGCCCAGGGAGGCAGCCGTGGTGCTTAGGTGGGGCTTTGTTCCCTGCATCATCCCGGGCAGGGATGCCAGCAGCCAGCACACAGCCCTGCTGCTCCCAAGGCCCCAGATCTGCCTCTCCAAATGCTTTGCCTCCATGCAGGAATTAGCAGCCAGAGCTCCAAGGTGTTTTCATGCTAAGCTGCAGGTTGGAAGGTTGCTCAGAGAAGAGGGGTAACTCCCTTGTTTTTTTAAAGAGATTAAGAAAAATGGTGATTGATTGCTGAATTGGTCCTAGAGCGGTCCCTCCTTCTCTGTGGGATGAGGCAGTCGAGATGGGTGCTCCAGGGATGCTCCAGGCTGCCCAGCCCTGCTGGCCATGCCCCCGAGGGCCAGCAGATGCTGTAGGGCTGCAGTTTTCTAGCAGAAGTGCCCCCAGGTCACTCCTGCTCCATCACCCTGCACCCCCGGGACCCAGCCAGGCTGGAGCCAGGGCTGACCGGGGCCTCCCAGCAGGAAAAAGCACAATACTTAAGGAGAAGGAGAGGTCAGTTAAAGTTTAATGTTCAGGCAAATACATCATCCCCTCCACTTAATCAAGCAGCAGCAATTCCTAACGGGAAGGAGAAAGGATGGCTCTCCTCCCAGTGATAACAAGGCAGGATTGCTCTCAGTTTTTGGCAGATAAGAGGGCTCTATAAAAATTGAATGTTTTGTACCATGGTCAGCCTAAGATGGCTTTATCTGTTGGAGGTGAGGGCCCAGCCGTGCCAGGCCTTGAGCTGAGATGTTTATGATGGGAGATGCAGCAGAGATTAGGGGTTTATGGCCACAGCCAGGGGTGGGAGCCACTGCCTGGTGGCCACAGGAGAGGGGCAGCAGCTCCTTCTGCTTATAAACTGGGTGGGGAATTTGAGTGGCAAAGGGACTGGGTGTTGAAAAGGGACACTTGGAAAAGACCCTGTGGTCATTTCTGGTGACCCCAGTATGGCATCACCATCACTTGCTCATGGTTAAGCTCTACACACACCTGGAAAAGACCCTGTGGTCATTTCTGGCACCCCATGGCCTCACCTCATCCTGAGTATGGCATCACCATCACTTGCTCATGGTTAAGCTCTACAAAACCCATGCTTGGGGTTAAGCACGGGGCTCTGCAGGCAGAGGCAAGGGCACAGCTGGCACCTGTAGAACCTGCTGTGCCCAAAGCTCTGCGTGCCTAAGGGCTTCCAGGGCTCGCTCATTTTCTTCCAGAAACCCCAATGCCATCAGAAAACCTCTGGCTGTGTGACCCAGGAAAGCTGAGGAGGGGCCTCTCCCAGGCCTGTGGCTGAGGGCAGATGTCCCCTGTGCTGTGACTGATGAGCAGCACTTCCACTGTCACCCCTGCTTCATGCTGGTGCCCTTCCCAGAGCATCCCAGACTTAGGGGAGCAAGGTTTGGCTCTGTCTTTTCCTGTTTCAGCACCTCTGAGGCAGTTTGGGGTTTACATCTCAAGCTGTTGGTGCACCCAGCAGAGGGGGACAAGGAGGGCAGTCCCAGGCATGAGAGCCACACCTCCAGGCAGTCCCCAAAAGCCACTTGCAGGGAGCACCACCCCTTTCCTGCAGCACAGTCCTGCCTCAAAGGACCCCACCTCCACCTGAGCCCCAGGTGAGCTGTGGGTGCAGGACCCCTGCTCCAAGCTCACCACACAGCAAGCCCCTGGAGCAGACACTCACCCAGAGCAGATATGGGTGCCTGTCCTTTCAAAACACTTTAATTGCTGCTCCTTCCACAGCCCCATGGGGTGGGATTTCAGCCCAGGAGGAGCAGGGGCTCTTTGCCAGCTCTGCCCAGGAAAAGGAGCAGCACTGGGAGAGTGGGACGTTCCACCAGCCACCCCTACACCAGGGAGAGGTACAGCACCCACCCCACATCACTGCCCCCTTTCTCCCTTTGCTGCCTCAAAAGGAACCAGTTATGCCCCACTGAGAACTAGTGAAAAAAATAATCTGGTTTGGGAAGAATTTTGGATGGCATAAAGATTCAAGTAGCGTTAAGTGAACTAGAAAACCAAGTCCTGTACATCAGCTTATAAAATTTCTAAATAAATTTTTTAAAAAAGAAAGAAGAAAAGGTATGACACATCAGTGCAAGGGATGAAGTGGTACAGTAATGCCCTCCACCCCAGCCCCTGGGACCAAACCCCCAGGGAGGCAGGGTCTGGCTGCCACCATCCCACGTTCCCTTCCACCACAGAAGTGTCCCCTCATCTGTCTGTCCGTCTGTCAGCAGGGGGCCGTGGCTCTAGAAGTCCTGCAGCCGTGAGATCAGGTCCTCCTTATTCTTCAGCAGGAACTTCTCACAGGCTTCGAAGGTGGAGCAGATGTCGGAGGACAGCCCCGCCACGTTGGTGGTGACGTAGGTGAGGTACCCTGGCATAGCCTGGTTGTAATAAGCCACCTGCGAGGCACAGGACGAGGTCAGCAGGGGCACAGGGGAGGGAGGAGCCTCCCCCACGGGCTGTGGGAGCACAAACACATCATCCCACCTTGGTCATCTCCTCTGACTCTGGCCAAATGCAGAAGCCGGAGCAGAGCGTCTCCCCGCGCGTGAACTCGGCTCTGGCGGGGTGGGTGGGCAGCGTCACCGACCGAAAGGCCACCACGTAGGGGTCCCTGGGGACGGGAGAGCCCGGTGAGCTGGCACAGCTTGGATGGCAGGGAGCAGGGGTCGGGCTGGACACTCACCCCTTGCTGCAGGGCTTCCGCCGGGACGCCAGGATAACGAAGTCCTGCGGTTTGTTCTCGTTCCTGAGCTTCTGGCTCACCACGTGGTAGATCATGTCGTCGTCGTCGACCTTCTGGACAAGCTCAGCACTCCTGTAAGGGAAGGGGACCGGTCACAGAAACCCTGCTGTACCCCTGAATCTGGGCCTTACACATTTACAGCCCACCACCAGACCCAAAATATTTGGGGTGACCCAAAACAGATGTTTGCTCCCGCAAAGCGCAGCCATCAGCCCAGATGGAGCCAGGACGGGGACACACCGTGTGAGGGTCTCTAGGAGCAGGCAAGGCGACACACTGGCTCCCAGGAAAGCCCAAAGGGATGCTCAACCACGAGGCTGAAGCTTGGGGGTGTGATGGTGGGGAGGCTGCAGCACTCACACGTAGTGGCTGTCCCACTCGTGCCGGCGCCGCAGGTTGGAGAGCAGGGAGAAGGCTCGGCCGGCCGGGATGCAGACGGACATCTCGATGCGGAAGGACAGGAACTTGTCCTCCTCCAGCGTGTACATCCGCACCTCGGGGAGCACAGGGCACAGCTGGGACCTGTTCCCACCGGGATTGCCCATGCTTTGGGGCCGAGGGAGAGGGGACAGCGTTCAGTACCTTTTCCTTTTCTCTGGCGAGCACCCAGTTCGCTTTGGCCACGAGCATCTTCAGCGCAGAGACGTTGTTGTAGCTCAGATAAACCTGGGGCAGGGGCAGCGTGTCAGGGGCAGGAGGGGGAGCAGGAGGAGCAGGAGGCAGCAGCTCCCATGGGGGATCATCCTCCTACCTTGTTGCTTTGGTCCCAGGGCACGGAGAGCGGCACCTCAGTCTGTTTGCAGGAGACGACGTATTTTCTGCAGCAAGGGAACAGCTTCCCTTATGAGGGGACACAAACCACCCCCAGAATGTCCCTGTCCCCCCAGTGCTGAGCCCCCCTTTCCTCCTTCCTCCATCCCCACATCCCACTCGTTTTGGTGCTCACCGGTCCAGCCGAATTTTTTTCCTAGCACTGGCTTCTCTGTACCTCCTTTCTCCATCCTGAGGAATGGGAAAAGGCAATTAAGTGAATAGGAAAAGGAGGTTAAAAAAAAACCAAACAAACAAACGAAAAAACACGCCCTTTTGGGAGTGGGAAAAACATTCAGCAGGGAAGGGCTGGAAGGTGAAGCCCCCTTGCTGATCAAGTGATGGGCACTGGCACATTAGGGAAAACCCTTGTTGTGGCTGCAAACCTGAACAAAGCCCCTGAAACAAAAACTGGGTACCCTAGCACCTACAAATGTCCTCTCCTGGGGAAATAAAAGCCAAAAAAAAAGCAGCTTATTTTGAAGAAAGTGCCAGTGTAGTGTTTTAAAGTGGGTGAGAGGAGGTTTCAGGGGGCCCAGCTTTGGCCATGAGATTATCTCCATCACAGTGGGAAACCCTAGTTTTAAGACATCAAAAAAATGAGGGAGCTGGACAAGGATCAGCCCAGGAGAAGCTGAGACACATGAGTTTGCTTTGTTGCTGTGCTCGTGCAACAGATTTCCTTAAATATTTGGATCCCAGCAAATTATGGATCAGGATGCCTTGAAAGGTACAAATCAACCTCA